TGTTTTGTTTTGAGACAAGTCTCACTCTGTCGCCAAGGCTGGAGTGCAGTGGTGCGATCTTAGCTCATTGCAACCACCGCCTCCTACGTTCAAGCGATTCTCCCACCTCAGCCTCCCGAGTACCTGGGACTACAGGGACCTACCACCACACCCAGCTAATTTTTGTATTTTTTGGTACAGACAGGGTTTCACCATGTTGGCTAGGCTGATCTCAAACTCCTGACTGTAAGTGATCCTCCTGCCTTGGCCTCCCAAAGTGCTGGGATGACAGGCTTGAGCCACCGCGCTGGGCCACTGGCATGAATTTTTAACAATAACAGACTTCAAGGCAACTTTGCCTTTCCCCGCTGCTGCCGATTCTTAGAGTGAAGTGCTGGGACCCCACCTCCTAAAGAACAGGGATTCTAATAAGGATACCCAAGGAGGGGAGGAGGTGGGAATTCCTGAGGCTGCCAAGGCCAGCCTTGTGAGGCTAGAAGATGTTCTCCAGGGATGGTGTGTCCAGGGTATGTCCAGCCTGGGTGCCCTTTCCAGATTGGCACCTTCCACATCCAGAGACTCAGGCTCCTCTCGGCACCTGTGGCGGGAACTGACCCCTGCTATGGCCCTCTTCACCACTCCCTGCCTTGAAGCGACTTCTCCTGGCTTCTACCTCCTGCCTTCTCCACTTAGGGTCCCTCTAATGGATTTGCTGCCTGTCTCAGAATCCACACCTATCTCGGTCAACTCAGGTGCCATCACTAAGAACTGCAGACTGGGCCAGGTGTGGTGGCTCACACCTGTAATCCCAGCACTTTGGGAGGGCGAGGCAGGCGGATCACGAGGTCAGGAGATCAAGACCATCCTGGCTAACACGGTGAAACCCCGTCTCTACTAAAAATACAAAAAATTAGCCAGGCGTGGTGGCACGTGCCTGTAGTCCCAGCTACTCAGGAGGCTGAAGCAGCAGAATCACTTGAACCTGGGAGGTGGAGGTTGCTGTGAGCCGATATTGTGCCACTGCACTTCAGCCTCGTGAACAGAGCGAGATTCCATCTCAGAAAAAAAAAAAAAGAAAGAAAGAACTGCAGACTGGGTGGCTTGTTAACAACAGAAATTTCTCTCTCACAGGTCTGGAAGCTGGACATCTGGGATCGGGGTGCCCACGTGGGGGGGCTCTAATGAGGGTCCCTTTCTGTGTCACACGCTGCAGACTTCTCACTGTATCCTCACACGTGGAAAGAGGGCTCCATTCTCATGCCTCATCTCCTTCCAAAGGTCCCGCCTCCAGATCCCATCACAGCAAGTGTTAGGATTTCAACCCATGAATGTTGAGGGACACAAACATTCATTGCTTAACAGTGGCCCTGGGTAAGTATCTGGTCCACCTGGGGCACCTGCCAGCCTGCCTGGGCTGTCGTATTTGCAGCGCTTGGATGGCATCCACACTGTAACCAACCCTGCTCTGACAAACCACATCTTCCTTCAGCAACGGGAAGACGGACCGTGATTTTGTCTTGCACACTCAATGGGGAAGCAGTTTTCCTGCCTGGCTCAGAAGAGAGAGCTGAAGCTTTTGAATGGAGACCCTAGACTGGGACAGCCCCTTCACCCCCCAGGCTGACCTGGTGCCCCCTCCCAGGCATCCGGCAGCCTCAGCCCATCGGGGTGCTTCTGTGGCTGTGCCTCATTCACCATCCTCCGGTCTTCCTGCTGGAGTGGCAGTGCACTGAGGCCTGGGGAAGTGGGGCTGGGCAGCTCTTCCCTTTTGCTAGTCAGGCGTGCATGGCCTCGGAATTTCACCATTTCCACCAGCCCATGTTATAGATGAGAAGACCGAGACTAGAGGCTTCAGGGGTAAGGGAGGGTCAACCAACTTGGTTTTTTGTTTGTTTGTTGTTTGAGGCAGAGTTTTGTTCTTGTTGCCCAGGCTGGAGTGCAATGGCACGATCTCGGCTCACTGCAACCTCTGCCTCCCGGGTTCAAGAAATTCTCCTGCCTCAGTCTCCTGAGTAGCTGGGATTACAGGCATGCGCCACCATGCCTAGCTAGTTTTGTATTTTTTAGTAGAGACAGGGTTTCATCATGTTGGTCAGGCTGGTCTTGTACTCCTGACCTCAGGTGATCCACCCACCTCAGACTCCCAAAGTACGGGGATTACAGGCATGAGCCACTGCACTCAGCCTGTCTGTTTTTTGAGACAGTATCTTGCTGTGTTGCCCAGGCTGGAGTGCAATGGCATGATCATAGCTCATTGCAGCCCTGTCCTCCTGGCCTCAAGTGATCCTCCCACTTCAGCCTCCTGAGTCCCTGGGACTACAGGCATGTGCCACTGCCTGGCACTCACATGCCGTAGCCTTGACTGAAAATTAGTCCCCTGCTCCCACCCACCCTGTAGAGAAACAATCCAAGCCCTCAGTTTGACATTGACTCATTCATTCACACACCTTCTCACTCATTCTTCTGTAAGTAGTTACTGAACTAGAAATCATCGGAAGATTTTATTAAGGGTTTTCCTACAGTTGGAGGGACAAGCCCTGTTTTACCTTCCCTGAAGTCAGGGTGTGACAACCACCGAGCAGGGACTGGGGCAAGGCCAGAGAGGAGGATGCTGCTGCCCAGGGGTGGCGCTGGGCTCAGTCCTGGAGCTTGCTGGAATATGGTTCAGTCCTGTCCAGCGGCGGCCCCCGGTTCACGGACGTGTAGGAAGACTCCGAGTCCCCCAGTGACTTGGGAACAGCCTCCTGAGTGATCTGGGAGTCGTGAGTCATTTCCCCATCAGAACTCCCCGTGTCCCTGTCCAAGGGGATGGAGAGACCCAGGGTTAGGGGAGCAGAGCAAACCCGAACTCCTTTAGCTGCTTGAGGACCTTCACAGTCAGACATCGCTTTCACAGATGTTGTCTTCGTAGACATGAACTCAATCCACCCATCTTTCTGGAGCACTGACCCTGTGCCAGGCACTGGGAATAAGGAAGAGGTCCACCTTTTGGAACGATGTGAACAACGCATAGGTCTTACTGGGAGCTGGACAATTTGAGGCCATTGTCCCATGTTCCCAAAGGTTGCAGGGAGAGACTGACTGCAACAATGACCACGCAGCATGGACAAGCGCAGGGGGGAGCTGCAGGAAGGCTTCCTGGAGGAGGCGGCAGCTCATGTGGCCCTAACGAAGGAGTGTGGGCTGGGCACAGTGGCTCACATCTGTAATCCCAGCACTTTGGGAGGCTGAAGCAGGTGGATTGCCTGAGGTCAGGAGTTCGATACCAGCCTGGCCAACATGGTGAAATCCTGTCTCTACTAAAAATACAAAAAAATTAGCTGGGCATGGTGGTGCATGCCTGTAATCCCAGCTACTCAGGAGGCTGAGACAGGAGAATCGCTTGAACCTGGGAGGCGGAGGTTGCAGTGAGCCGAGATAGCACCATTGCACTCCAGCTTGGGCAACAAGCGCGAAACTCCGTCTCAAAAAAAAAAAAAAAAAAACCTCGAATTGTGTTCCTAAAACGGTATTTTTGCATATTAGATTTATTAACATCATCATAAACACGGTGAAACCAAAATACTGGTAAAATGGGGCGGCGCTTAAATCGACAGTCTACGGAGTTACAGAAAAGGGTAATCAACTGACGGAAATACACAATTCTCAGCAAGAGAGTTTCAAAACACCAGTGTATCTCAAAGATAATGGGCCGGTTCAAACTTCCAGGCTTAACCTAAACTGCCTGTTCCTTGCGCTTAATGCCAGCATTCGCTACAGTTCTTTTGTCTGTGAAATGACCCGCACCAAACCACAGCAGAGAAGAAACAGATCCTTGCACTGAACACTCGTTACTTAGAACAGGAGGGGTAGACGAATCTTTCCACTAGCTCCAGCTCCTCCTCCCCACC